TATTCAGTTACGTTATGTTTTGATTTTATATAATTTGAGTATATGAAGTTAATTAACTACTAGATCTCATTTCGTATTTTTTAATTGCGTACCATATTCATTAAAATGACATAAATAACATGTCGTATAACAAGAATTGTGGAACTATTAGACCATCTTATAGCAGTATTGTTTAAAAATTATATATGCTGGTTTTTATAATCAAAACTCAAGTACATGAGAATAATTATATGTTTACTTTTTAAATAAAAAATAATAAATATTCAATAGAAAATGAAAAGTTGTTATATGTATAAAGGTACATAGTAGTTAATAGGTCATAAGGTTTTAGTAAATGAGGGTCTATCTCCATATAAAACCCGAAAGTATAATAGTTAAAATATTTTTTACAAATGCAATATTCACATTTTAATATTATTTAAAGTGCGATTCATGTAATTTATATTAAATATTTAGAAAATATGTTCATAATTTGACTTCTTTAAACATATGTTCAGCTAAATTATTCGAGTCGGGTACTGCATGTTCGAACTATGGTCCTTTAATAAACTAGCTAGCATGACTCAATAATTTAATAAACAAACAAAAAGTGAGCTCAATTTTAGCGACCTTAAAATCTAGATCAGAACTCCCTCAACATGTTTGATAGACAAGTTGGACTTGTTGCTTGAGCTTGACTCGTTCGAATAATAATAATAATAATAATAATAATAATAATAATAATAATAATAATAATAATAATAATAAATTTATTTGGATGTAAAAATCACAATAATTATTCAATATCGATTGCAATATTATAATCATGTTAATATATAATTGTTATCGTAGCATGAATGTATACAATACTACAATCTTATATATGATTAATTATCTCACTATCCGGTGTCTAAAGACAAAATCTTACATCCTGAATGAATTCGAAGTATATAAGAGTCAAGATCAATATATGGATTGTTGTGTTTGTATGTATTCATATATTATATCATGTTATTAAAATATTACTATTATTTATTTTGTGCATAAATATAAATGCAAATAAAATATTATAAACTATATGTATGGATATTATATATGAAACTATAAGTTAGATAACGAACATATCACATTTATTACTTTGAACACTAGTAAAAAGAAATAATGTAACTATAAAATAATTGACATATATATGAATCGATAAATAGATTGCATAAAATTTAGTGAATAATGTAACCTTTACAAATTTAAGGTATATCATGACAAATTCATTACTGAAAAAAAGTATCAAAATTATTATTTTAAATTACGCGATTTTAAGAGATTTGTTATGTCATTAAAACTAATTAGCTATTTAAAAAAAAAAATACTCAGTGAGGTAAAAATAAGAACATAATATTTATTTTAAATAAATACCTTGAAGAAAAAAATTTGGTATAGAGTTTTCCATGAGTGTGTAACTTGCATAAGCCTTATTAATGTTAATTACAATGAGTGAATATTTATAGTAATTATTATATGATAAAATACTTAAAAAAATATTATTACTCTTTTTTTTAAACGACATATATATTCATTAATAAACATATATTTACAAGTTTCTAACTAGTCGATTGAAGCAGCTATACAACTGAATTTAGAGAAGTCTACATGAGGAGAACGTCTGTAGCCTAAAAACTACTACACTAAACACCAGTTTTGCTCTGGAGTCATCAGATGACTCGACTTATGGATTCATCCACACTTATTCACCAATAGAGTATTGACACGTGTCCTGTAATAAATACAATTTGGACAAGTGATGAATTCTACAAATTTTCTGACGGCAACAGACCACATCTTACGACTACCATTAGTTTTTTATGATTTATTAACGTCAGAATGAAATTCGGGGGTGATTAAACTTGTTTAGTTTTGATTTGATTTATTTCGTAAAGTGATTTAATTTTGAAAAAGTTGATTTATGCATATATTTGTGTTGGATTTTGAGTGTGTTCGTATAATATATAAAATGTAATGATTAAAAGTAGGAAAATGGTTAATTTTAGTTAGTGTGATGTAAAAAATTATTGAAAATTATTGATAGTAGTGGTAATATTAGTAAATAGCCTTCTCATTTTGTAAAAGATAAAATATAACTATTTTTTGTGAAAGTAGGAATAATGGTCGTTTTGCCACGTGAAATGACCAAATTAACATCTCCACACTTTGTCACTCACTACAATTTCTGGAGTTCCATAAATGATTTCTAGTATTCCAAAAATTATTTTTAGTGCTTTATAGAACATTTTAAATAATATCTTGAATTATATAATTAATTTTTGAAAATCCACAAATGATTTCTGGAACAATGTCATGAATTTTACAATAAATTTCTAGAATTCTAGGAACGATTTTTGGGTGTTAGAAATTATACGTTATTTTTTATTAAGAATTTTGTAGTAAAGTAATTGTGTCATTGTAAGGCAATACGACTATTATTAATACTTCAACAAAAACTGATTATATTTCTTATTTGCATTTGGTGCTTAGCTATCACCAAGGTAATGTTTAATACAAATTTTGTTGATGCAATTATATTATTTAATTATATTAATAATATTTAAAAAATTTAAATTATAATTAAATTTAAATTAAATTTTGAATTAAAAAAAATTAAAAAATTATTAAAAACTAATCAAATTTTTTATTCAATAAAAAACTTGGAAAAAAATGGGAAATTGGGTAGCATACTAACATGTATCTATCTATTTTCCCAATATTAGCATATACTAGCATCTACACAAAACAATAGGGAAGATCAAGCAGCTCAACACAAAAAGACCTCCCCAAAAATGGCGATCTCAATGTCCGCCGCCACACCCACCACCCAATTGAAGCCCGCCGCCGCCCAGATCTCCGCCTTCCCAGCCACCCTCTCGTACCCGTCCGCCTCACCCAGGAAGCCGATCTCCGTCTCATGCTCCTCCACCTTACTCCAGACCCCGCCGTCCTCCGCCGCCTCCCCATCCACGGATCGCGTCTTCAACTTCGCCGCCGGCCCCGCCACCCTCCCGGAGAACGTCCTCCTCCGCGCCCAGTCCGAGCTCTACAATTGGCGCGGCTCCGGCATGTCCGTCATGGAGATGAGTCACCGCGGCAAGGAGTTCCTATCCATCATCCAGAAGGCCGAATCTGACCTTCGCGCCCTCCTCGCCGTCCCGCCAGAATACTCCGTCCTCTTCCTCCAGGGCGGCGCCACCACCCAGTTCGCCGCCCTCCCGCTCAACCTCTGCAAGCCTGACGACGTCGTCGACTACGTCGTCACCGGATCCTGGAGCGACAAGGCCTTCAAGGAGGCCGCCAAGTACTGCAACCCTAGATCCATCTGGACCGGCAAATCCGACAAGTACACCAAGATCCCGAGCTTCGACGCACTCGACCAGACTCCCGGCGCCCGCTATCTCCACATCTGCGCCAACGAGACCATCCACGGCGTCGAATTCAAGGATTACCCTAACCCGGCGAGCGATAACGAGATCCTCGTGGCCGACATGTCCTCCAATTTCTGCTCCAAACCCGTCGACGTCACCAAATTCGGCCTGATCTATGCCGGCGCACAGAAAAACGTGGGACCCTCGGGTGTCACCATCGTGATTGTCCGATCAGATCTCATTGGGAATTCCCAGCCGATAACTCCTGTGATGCTCGACTACAAGATCCACGCGGACAACAACTCCCTTTACAACACGCCCCCCTGCTATGGCATCTACATGTGTGGGCTCGTTTTTGAAGACCTCGTGGCGCAGGGTGGGCTGGCCGAGGTTGAGAGGAAGAACGTGAAGAAGGCGGGCATTCTGTACGATGCCATTGATGGAAGCAAGGGTTTCTACAGGTGCCCTGTGGAGAAGGGGGTGAGGTCGTTGATGAATGTGCCGTTTACGCTGGTGAAGCCTGAGCTGGAGGCCGAGTTTGTGAAAGAGGCGGCCAAGGAGAAAATGGTGCAGCTCAAGGGGCACAGGTCGGTTGGGGGCATGAGGGCCTCAATCTACAATGCTATGCCGCTGGCTGGGGTGGAGAAGCTGGTGGCCTTCATGAAGGATTTTCAGGCCAGGCACGACGGTTGAGGAGAAAATATGGAGGTACTTGGTTTTCCTTTTCTTCTTTGTCTAGAATTTGTTGTATGATTGATCCTGTTTGGGATCCTGTGCTATTTTATTTAGTCCGTCGGGTTTTTCCGGTGGTTGGTGTTCGAGACTAGCTAGTAATGTATGATTGGTTTTGATATGATTGAAGTTGTTTGGCGGAATTTCGGAGGTTTAGAACAATATTCTTGTTGGTTCTGGAATAATAAAAAAGAAAAGTTTGAATGGTGAGAATTTTGTGTGTTCCTACTTCCTTATAAGTATTGTGCTGGGGTTTACAAGCTTGATGGGCTAACAGTTTCTTTAGCCACTGTGGATAGCAAATGGGTGAAATTATTGTGTAATGACACTCTTTGAAAACAAGGATTAGAAAATTCCAGGAGTTTATGAATATGACGATAGTTACTAAATAGCATTTTTTATGTGGATTTGTGTGAAAGATGACTATGAAATGATATGATGATTTGATCTATTGGAGATTTTTTAGGCATACTAATCCAAACTGGACTACTTATACACATATGCAACACTTCTGTGCACGTTTTGGAGATGGCTTTGATAGTTGGAGGTATTTGGCAGTTGTGAGTTCGCGACCATTTCATCTATGTTTTATGGTTCTTCACAGGAACAAATAATTGAAAAAAGTGCCACTCCTAAAAGAATCATGCTACGTGACTTAAAAGAATGACATAAAACCTGACATATAACACATGACACGTAACGTCACTTTTAAAATCAACAACTATTAAACACCACTTTTGGTCAAATAATTGTGTCAAAATAGCATTATTCCTCTAAAATATACTATACAAAGGCTGTAGCCTCAACTGGAACAAGGTGATTGTTTTAAACGTTAACAACAACAACAACAACATAGCCTTTAGTCCCAAGCAAGTCGGGTAGGCTAGAGATGAAACATTGCTTTAAACGTTAATGCAATAATTATGTTAAACTGCATCAATTGTCAAGTAGCTATATATACTGGGATAACTACAAAATCTTCCTGCCCAGCCATCATCCTGTCAATGTATTTATCATATTTGATTTTACCAATATTAGCTCGACATTGGACCCAAACACTCTTCAAACTTCATTTACTGGACCAGCTGTGGCACCAAACCACACAAAAGGATAAACTAAAAAGTATTGGAAACACATGTATTGTATAGTCCAAAGCCGAGAAAAAAAAAATATATATTCTGCAAACTGAGACCTGATTTTACAACACTAATGCACCATTTTTCAATAAAATTAAATACGGCAGCAGAAGAAATGCATTCCTTTGAATGACCAGTTTGAAGGCGCAACAGAAAAAAATCATAATCTGATGAAAAATTACAGAGGCCCGACATTAGCAGCATCGGCAAGATAGAACATCAGAGCAAGTGTAGGGCCTCAACATCTGCTCAAGCTCATGGGTCGATGGTAACGGTTCCATCCTATGCAAGCTGCTTCTGGCACAACAGAACACGTACAAATTCCTGCCGACTCCTTTACTGAATGGGTAAACTCTTTCAGGAATGCCCCTGCAAAATCCCAACTCCAAATAACTCTCAAAACACAATTACCAGAATCGCGTATGAATATATCACATGTCAAAAAGAAATTCTAAGCTGCACAAACTAAACACTTCTGATGCGCAGCAGTGAAACATAAGTAAAAACAAGAGAGTGAAAATTTGCCAAATGAATATAACCTATGGGTATTCAAGAACAAACCTCAAATAGACAATCCGTCGCCGCCTAACAAGTTCGTATGTGGTTTGATTAGTCATAACAAGGTAGCTGTCGGATTAGAAATTTCCAGTTATGGATGGAAGCAAGCACATGAAAAACAAGCAAACACCATCTTACCACTTCAGTACTTAAACATAGGAAAGATAAAAAGAAATAAGCAAATACAAATCCACTGGTATGTAACATACCTATGGAACAAAAGCAGAAGTAGCAGAAAGATTAGCGATATGGACAAAGCAGCAAGGAGCAAAATCATTATTACATCCACCCACCTGAGAGAGATTCATTTCAGTGTGAATTTGGTTGATACTCACAATCAATATGAAGTCTCAAACCATATTGTAAAATAGATTTACATACTAAATTATAGTCATATAAATGTGAGTCTCATTAACTGAAAAATAGAAGAAGGCACTTTCCTAGATATAATAAGTCAGCTTATATACATACCATGCCTTAGATATATTTGACTTAAGGAACCCAACATACAGAACGCTCGTCCAGAGACACAAGGCTGTTTCCTCAAATATGTACCACCTGATTCACCATATAGAAAATTAAATGATAGGATAACGGTGAATAGCACAAACTTTAAGTTATACAAAAAACATGTATAGTTACTCAATTGATATATCATGTTCAAGTATGCCAATATGCAAGAAACAATAATAGAGTCATAAATAAATCTTTGAGTAATTCATCAAGCACAATTGGCAAACAGAATGAATATATCGAGATAGAAGTTGGAGATCACAAAATACAAATAGGAGGGTCAAGATTCTAAAGAAGAACCAAAGGCATCTCCCCGACAAAAAATTGCCACCTTCAATTAAGAAAATAACTGAACTTTAATTTATCAAATGATCATCTTCAAAGCAAAAAAGTCTAGCAGAATAACACTTTTTCTCCCTATCCCCAGCTCTACCTAGTACCTACTCAGCTTAATGAACACCCATATTCTGCATTAACATGCAAATGTGATGATAGAACAAATTCAGAGAGTGAGCGGCTATATAGTTGAACAGACTAAATTTAAATAGAATTTTAATATGCACCTATATATTAGTGAAAGATATTATTCATGTGTGGTTGAGATTTTGAAGGAGGGGCACAGAAAGACTTTGGTGGCATAGTCTCTAACTAAATATAAATATAGACATGTCTGGGCCTAGAAGATGACCTAGGTTAACTTTATCTTCAGAAGTTCAAGAACTTACATGGCAATGATCAATTGAGTTTAAACAAGGTAAAATGAGGATAAGAACATAAAGGTGTGAACATAATTGCTCCAGAAGAACTAGTAGTAAGGGGAAGAGATATTTGAAAGAAACAATCACGGAAGAAGTCCAAATTTATGATGGAGAAGAACACCGTAATGTTACTTGCAGCTAATACAAATGCTCTAGACTAACATAAATTTGGAAATATAAAGTGATTGGTCGATAAAAGTGCTTGCATTTAATCATCTAATGCTACAATTGTGCACGTTTAATTCCCCGCATTTATGCATCTTTCGACTTATTTGATATTATTATCAACTCTCGTGCCTTGATGAATTTTTGAGTGATTTCAGTACTTTTGGAGCTAGTTCGGGCTGCACGGTGAAGTGTAGATGCACGGAAGAATTGCAAAGAAGTGGTTCCAGCAAGTACGGGGGCATCCCGTACTGAACCAGCAGGCCCCGTACTCCTGTAGCAGGCCTAAGTAAATCACGTAATTGGCAGGGGAATTAATACAAGTGGGCCGCGAATATTAAAGATAGGAGTGGGCCTAATATATTGACTTGGAGGATTTAATTTGACTTTGGAGCATATACAAAAGGCAAAGTGACGTGGCCTGGAGAGAAAAGAATTAAAAAAATCAAGGAAGGGATATATAAAGGAGACTTTTGCTTGGAAAGGGATTTATTCATTCTTTGAGGACTGGGACATTGCGGCTGAGGCGGGGAAAACAGAGGAAAAGGGAGAAACTGATCGCAAGCAGCAACCGTGCAAACGAACAGAGAAGACTTTTATTCTCTTTTCTTTTATTCTTTCTTGTGTAATTAAATTCTTGATTAGGTTATTGAATATTATGAACGAGTAGTTCTTTATTCTAGTTCCGGGGAAGTCGAACCCTACGATTGACTATGTTTTGATTAATTTATATGGTTGATGAATTCAATATCTTTTTGGAATTGCGTGTGGTATTTTGAATAATTCACCATGATGTGTTAGTTTTGTTTAGATTGATCACCTAGATTAGGCTTTTCATATCTACATCTGAATTAGGCCTGCAATCCGTAATTGTTGTTGTGTTTAATTCATAAGAGGTAACCGGAAGATGGTAACTACCGGGGATAACGCGGTTGAGTTCACTAATTAGTCTAGCCTATTTTTCTAATTCGTAAAGCGGCTAATTGTATTAAATCTTGAAAACGTTTTTCCGGACTGTACAAAAAGTCAGGTTTAATCGTCGAGCGTCTCGCGGTTAAATTAAAAATAAGGAAAAATTCGGGTAACAGACCGTGTCGTTACCTAGGGCTAGTAATTCCAGGAGATAGCGAAATCTGATACTAAAATTAATTAGACGAGTCAATCGAGGGTGTAGACGGAACCGTGGACTAGATATTTCCCCATTTATTTGATAATCATCTTTATTTGCTGCATTTGATTTCATTGTATTATTCATATTTCTAGTAGTTAATTAATTCATACCAAAACCCCCTTTTATTAGTATTTTCATGATTTCAATTAAAGAAAATAATTACAACTAAATTCCGCACTCCCTGTGGGTTCGACCCTTGCTCACTACTACTACTAGTTGGTAGAAGTCGGTTAAGGAAAATAAATATTATATTTTGACCGCGTCGCGACACGCGGTCATAAAGCAAGCTTATATTTGGTATTAGCTATCCAAGCACAACACAAAGAAACCAATGAACTCACCGATTCACAACAATGTGCCCGATAAGAAATACAAGTGTTAAACAATGGTCAGAAATAAGCAAGAAATAATTTATTTGAAAAAGAAACATGAGTACTCACCAAAATCGACAATGGTTGCCCTGTCCAATGCAAGTCCCAAGCCAAACACAATGATGGTCAAATTGAAGAACACACTTATCGCAGTCATGACAGTGTTTTGCACGAGGAGGCTATTAAACAAATGCAAATACACACTAAGATCACAGACCATGAACGAAATGAAAAATCAAATTATCTTATGGTTAAAAACAGGAATCATATTCTGCAACTTAAGCATGTAAAGCAAAATCACCACTAAATTAATCATCAATCACAAAAACAAGGGGAACATAGATTTTTTATAAAACCCAGGCTTTTCGTACATCGCAGAAAAAGGATACTTTCAAAGTTGGAACAATTTTGAAAGTTAAGCATGGCATGACTAGCTACATTATTTTCCCTTTCACTTCGAAGGAATTTATTCCCACACGTGAAAATATCTACAATGATCGGGCAGATAGAGCAGTGAGATTTCTGCAGCTTAGTATATAAGAATGTACGAATAATTGATCAATATAAACTACAAAGTATACAATAAAACTTATCATGCACACTTGCAATTACAAAGAAAGCATTTATATGAGTCAAGCAGACTTGGAAACAGATATGAAACAATAATAAATAAACAAATAAACGAAGGCATGTAGTACATACAAATTCAGCTGTCCAGAAGGTCTTGGAAATGCTTAATGATCACATAAACAAAACAATGCGAGAAGGAAGATAAAAGATTCTACCTGAAGGACATTGCAGTAAGGGCATGTCAAATTTCTGGAAACAATCAATAGACGAGAGAGATTCAGTCAGCTATAGATCGCCGCTTTCAATAAATAAACACTGTATTGTGCTGTTCTCACTATGGCAGTATGCACATGAAGCTAAGGTTGTTCAAAGAGGGTAAACACTGTCTACAACACTTTATTTGCATGTTATCCTATTTCCAATGCAATTCCAGACAGATCCTACAGAACTATCCTCTCCACAACCTGAAAGATGTCACATCATATCACTTCCCTACTTATAAGAAGTTTAATGAGGCATTACAACTAAGTCGCTACTCACTAAAAAAGCATCAGTTTTGGTTGGAAAAGAGATAATCTCCATCAAATATATCTTTCAATTACGAATATTATGCCATATCTCATTATGAATAATGATAGACTACTCCTTCGACCAGCCCTAGCACCTAAAAAAACAGAACAAGCACCAGATATTGTTCTGAAATTCTGAAAAAGGTGTGGTAAAAAAGAAATCACTTTTCGTTACTTTTCTAATTCGAGACATGAAGTCACTCGGGTGACATTGACAAGCTTAAGTTATTTATCGAGCAGAAAACTGCCACAAGAGTCATAAAAAATAGTCCTCTGAATCTCAGCTACGTGGAGCTTCAGTAAATTCATCAACAAAGTAAGATTATTTTCCCTAACTTTGGTACTGCAAAATATACGTGATATACGCTTACCTAGTGGATGTCCTTGGAGGGTATAAATCCATTACTAGCTTTGTCCAAGCAGTTGCATTCCCTCTGTGAGAGTTCCTCCCATCCACAGTGATTACAACACTGCTACTGTTGCTTGCCGCTGATTGTCTTTGCTTGAAAATTATAACAAGTCATACCCAAAGATATTGCAGTTAGTGAATTCTATCTTTGGTCAGATCTTCAATGCAGAAGCTACTCGTTGTTGTGTTAAATTTCAAAAAGGACCTGCTTACTTTGAGGCCAATAATGATCTTCTAGCTGAAGCGTCTCGCTCGTCAACATCCTTCTGCTCATCGAGTACAAAGCTAGATTTTTTCAAGAAGAGGAAAATGTAAGCATACTGGAGAGAAATAAAACATATTATCTACTCCGCACCAGTAGTTACGAATGCAACTATTTAGCAATAAGAGAAAGTTGGTAAATGTAATTACCCAGGAGACGTTCCAGAGGTAATAAAATATTGAATCAATGTACCAACGAACAAGAACACGTATGCAGCAGTGTACCTGTGTTGGTAAGGAATAGATAGGATTTATATCTATCATGATGACAATGAAGTAAACAAATATGATTCTAACATAACGACTAACAAGTGAAATGAAGTTGCAAGCAAATGCATATAACCCAGTTTCACTCCTAACATTCCTGTTCCAGTTTCTGGCAGTAATTAACTCACAACACAAGGATTCAAATTCCTTAACTTTTATTACAAACTGAGAAATAAATCCGAAGCTAATAATTTAACATATCCTTTTGCAAAGATCATCAGAAAAATCATTGCAGAGTGCCACTGAGTTTTCTAAGCAGGAATCACAAGAATATGGCCTTCAAACACGAATACACCACAGGGGTGATGACCTCATCTTGGAGTTATAGCATCTAGGTAGGCTAGGTTGACTAAATCAAGGAAGCCACAAGGACAATCATTTTCCAAATCCATCATAATTAAAGGTGCTTAAGATATTAAGACCACCCTTCAGCACAACTGTGGGTAAAATAAAGTGCTTTTGGAGTTAAGCTCCTTTACAAGAATTTCTTGTTATTTTCAGCAAAATGGGCGAGAAAGTTAGCCTTTTTATATCAGTTAGTCCTATGAGTTGGTGAAGGTTTAATTCTGTTGAAGAACAAAATTATTTTGCACTCAATATGTTCTATTTTTATGTTCCATAATTTCCATTTATATAGAGCTTACACCCAACCATAACGGTAAGCAACTATCTATTACATACTTTATCAACATTCACCCAAAAATTGCCAGCTTTCAACTACTGAAGCATAAACGTCAACAATCAGAAAACACAAACATTACCATGGCTCCTGTTTGGTCTTCTCAATTAAATCACTGTCAAACAAAAGTAAAACCCCGGCGAAAACAAGATGCAGCACCACCAACGTGGCTCTCAGTGATAAAGCAGATCTTCGAGCTAAAGAAGATGTAAACGAATAAATATCAAACAAAAAAGCCAAAATCGAAACCTCCAAACTTTCACAACTATAAATTGAAGAAATTACCAGGATCAGAAAGGCAGGGAACAAAGCGGGAGCAACGGTCGGAGGCACGATGCCATGTATCCCGGAGGCTGCCGCCGCATGTAACGCCCATTGTCTTCTCACACGCTCATCACTGTACTCTGTGCTCGCTCAATTGCAATAGCTAAGCTATGAGAGTCAGCGAGAATAGAGAGAGAAAGAGAGGCCGGCGAAGAGAGGCGGACGAACGGCGGCGCGTAGCAAGTCGTTGCCACGGGAGAAATCTATACCCAACTGAGAATTTTCTATTATTGCTCTTTCATTATCTCGTGTATCATCGTCCGTTTGTTTTCTTTAATTTATTTTACTAATACAATAGGTATTAAAACACTAAAATATATTAATATTTGCACAGAAACTTAAATTTGTGAAATTTTGTATGAATATACAAAAATAATAAATTATTAAAAAAATAATAATTAATTTAAATGACGCCCGTATTATATTTTTCAAATTATATATATATATATAACATATATTATTTACAACTTCATAGATTTGAGTAATTTTTTAAAATAAAATAAGTTTTAGTATATTTTGACTATATTTTATATTTAGAGAGTTAGTGTCTCTCGTTTATTATTTTTTCAAGTATTATAAATTTATATAATTTTACAATTTATAATATTAATTTATGTTTTTCTAACTTTATAACATACAAAAAAAAATTATTATTTTTAATTATTATATTTTTTATATTTATTATTTTTTCAAGTATTTTAAATTTATATAATTTTATAATTTATAATATTTATTTATGCTTTCTAATTTTATAAAATATAAAATTATTTTATTATTTTAATTAGGATATTATTTTATCCTTATTATTTTAAATAACATAATATTTGTTCTTTATATAATCCATTTATTTAAATTGAGATATAATATTTTATTATATTTCTTAAAAATTATATATGTAATACTTAGTTCCCATATTTTATTCAAAATCTATGAAAAAATACATTTAAATAATTATTTTATGGTGTATTAACAAATTAAATTTTATTATTTTTATAAAATAATTTATATTGTTATTTGATATTTTTTTAAATTGATTTGATAATGGAATTAACTTTAGTTATAAAGATAGGTGAAATTATTTTTTATAAAAAATAAAATACAACTAAGGAGTTATAAAGTATTAAAAATAAGAAGAATGCATATTTATTTTAGTTAATATATGAATTAAATAAGAAAATGTAAGAGTAGTATATAGTAATTTAAAAAAAAAAAAAAAATAGTTTTGGTAATTCTCAAGCCGTCAAAATCAAACATGTACATTGTCAATACGAAGTACAAATTTATGTCAATAAACTCACGAACCATACAAGTTTGTCACTTACGCTCAGCATATCATAGTTATTACATGAACTAAGAAATAAAGACACAATATAAAAAGAAGATCCGATTCCAATTAGATTTAGAAACGAGTTTGAACAGAATATATAACATACTCTGTCAAGTAGCAACACAATGTCGAAGTCATTTCTTATTACATGAACTAAGAAACAAAGACACAACATCAACATATATAAAAAGAAGATCCGGATTAGATTTAGAAAAGAGAAGCAAAAAGATTAGTTAAAGACGATGAGTTAAAAGACGAAAAATATATCTGACTAAAAAGAGTTATCAGTGTCCAACTATCTATCACTCTAAAAGAAGTACTAAAAATCGAATTAAAGAAAGTGCCATTTTTTTTTCTAGTAATATATCGTATAACTTGAAAGTTTGAAGCCCAAGCATGTCTTGTTTTGAAGGAAAAATCAGCGGAAGACTAGTTCGTAAAAGGCACAACTTTAGTTGAGTTCAGTTTGTGAAGAGGATCTTTATGAAAGGGGTCTGATGTATTCAGTCTTGTGTATATTAAAAACATTAATATCTAGTTGAGGATCCTTATGTATTGCAAATGAGATTGACAGTTTACATTGATAATTTTTAGGATTTAAATGAAAGTCTACATACATAAACACACACATGTTTTTCTAATGAGCATAGCAACACCATCCTATTTTTCTTCTAATATTGATGATGAGAAATTTCATGCTTCATTTCTTTAAATGAGAGCTTTTAGCTTTAATGCATAATGCTTTTGTTTTGGATTCATTATCTGCTATAATCAATATAGTATCATCATTAGCGAACTGCAGATTGCGAAATAAATGGCCACATCCAGATCATGGATAATTTTTCATGAACTAACCTTATCAGCTAATGGAAGGTAAAGGAAAATAATGAATTAATTCCTAATCGAGTTTTATTCATTTTTCTCAACAGAATCCAAAATGCTGTCAAGATAGAAGGGGGTAAATAAATGAGTAGATTTTATGTATTTATGCATTCGTCACTGTGTTCGCTTGATGCAATTTTTGATGAATTGATTTTCTTCTCATCTTTGGCAAGATACCGACAGTTCGGTTACTACTATAATAGCGCAAACAACTTGTCTGTTGGCCTAAAGTGCTATAATTGGTTAGGAGATGTTACCGTTATTTGGAAAATTAATCGAATATAATTTTTGAAACAAAAGCGAAAAATTCATAAACGGCATATCATATTTTTCCGATAAAATGGTTTGAAGTATTTCTATTCCTTTTTATAATGAATGAAAGTTTTCAAAAGTATTTCTGATTTTCGCCTAAACCATAAGGCGATCTAACAATAGACATATTGTTTTTATTTGTCATTGGACTCTGCATCCATCATTAATTATTTCATTCTTAAGTTTCTGTTCGGAATCTTGAGGTGAACATCTTTCTATAGCAAGTAGAATATCTGTGATATCACTTCCCATGTTAAAGATGACTCCATTTGTAAGCCATGACAATTGACATCTATATAGAGGTGTACATAAACAGAGGCATGCAAATATAGAACTTGTTCATTGTTTTCAGTTCAACATTTTCAGCTTAGGTGAGTCATGAATTCATGACATTTTTCAGTTCTATTGTTATTTTTACATCCATACATTGTCCTTTTTGTGTCACGAGCACTCTTACTCGATAAAAAGTATATACGTTGTCATATTTGTTATATGTCGTTCGTTGTGCGCGCTCCAACGCAATTATTGTAGCTACTGATTTATTTATTTTTATTTTATTCAGGATTTCTTCACACAATCATAACATCAGAAAAATCTTTTTTCCCAAGATATGGATTTAGAAACCGAAGGCATGGGCTCGGGTGATGAAGGAACTTCTGAATCAAGGAGGGTTAGAAGGCAATATCATCGACATTCGGCAGAACAAATACAACAGCTTGAGGCGTAATCTGAATTTTTTATTTATTTTTTACTTATATATGCTTTATTTAATATTTATGTTGTGTTTTATCGATCGGTTTGCATGGCTAGTCACCCCTCATGTGTCTAACAAGCCATTTATATGTCTTTTGGTTTTTGTAACTCTCTTTCTTTTCTTGTTTCATAATTATATAGATTTTTTAAAGAATGCCCACATCCTGATGAGACTCAGAGAAAAGAATTGAGTAGGGACATAGGACTTGATATAAGGCAGATTAAGTTCTGGTTTCAAAACAAGAGGACTCAAAAAAAAGTATGTATTCATATCCATTCTATGTATAGTAAACTGTAAACCTCATCACCTTTCGTACTCGATTCTGGCATGTGACCAGAAAAATGTCTTTTTAGGCTCAAAATGAGAAAGTGAATAACAGTGCCCTCCGAGCCGAAAATGAAAGGATTCGCGGTGAGAACCGTGCAATGAGCGAAGCACTTCGAAATATTGTTTGTCCGGCTTGTCATGGGCCAGGCCTTCAAGGCGAAGTGAAACAACTCGATTTACAGAGGCTGAAGATGGAAAATGCACAGTTGAGAGAGCAGGTAAAACTTTGGACAATACATATAAATCATCTTCATCTCTCTTGTTTCCACTAAAGAAAAATTATTTGAATCATCAATCCATGCAGAATTANGAAACATGGTTTAGTTTTATAAATGGTGATTTTTTACTATTAATAATTTTTATGTGTAAAAGTTAGATTTTTCGTCCTCTGACCCGCTACATGTAATAATGTCGATGACACTTGAAAAAAATGGAAAAACTCGATTTTCAGCACAAAAAGGCAGCTAACCTTCTCTCAAATTACATGGAAAAATCACCATCCATGCATACGCCAAGAACCGAGCACGTCCCATATATTCCGTGCAAAATATTTCTCGAAACGGACAAATCGATCATTATCGAGACTGCCAGGTCAGCCACGGATGAACTTATCGAGCTTTTACTCGTGAAGGATCCGGTTTGGGTGAATTCCTCGAGTGACGGGAGATTTATGCTCCACCGTGACAGTTACGACAAGCTTTTCCCAAAGCCTCTCAATCATTATTTCAAGTCTCCAAATGCTCGGTTGGAATCATCTAAAGATTCCGGTGAGGTGGCACTGCCAGCTAGACAGTTGGCACAGATGCTGCTTGATCCGGTAAAACAAATTCAACAAAAATTAAATTCGAGTTTTACTTTATGTCAGACGCTCTCACACAAGACTTTGTATATGTTGCAGAGTGGATGGGAGGATATGTTTCCAACTATTGTCACGAAAGCTAAGACGATCGAAGTTCTTGACACTGGAAGTTTGAGTGGTTCATTGCATTTGGTAGGGAGATTCTAGTTTTAATTCAAAATATTTATAGAATTTTTTCTTGTGTTAGTTCTGAGTTACTAGTCGGTTATTACATTATTGCAGATGTATGAGAAGATTCACATTCTATCACCTCTTGTGGCAGCCCGAGAGTTTTTCTTTATCCGGTGCTGTCACCAGCTGGACGCTAGCACTTGGGTGTTGGTGGATGTGTCGTACGATTTTTTCAAGTACTTACAAGATGCAGCTCCAACTTGTTCTTGGAAGTTTCCTTCAGGCTGCATCATTCAAGATTTGTCGAATGGAAAATCAAATGTGAGTTAATTAATTACATAATAAGACCTAAGACAAATGATTTCACATGATTATTCATGTTAATACTATTCTTAATAGATCACATGGATCGAGCATGTTCAAGTGGACGACAAGTCACAAAACCATCGTCTTTACAGAGACTTGGTCAGCGGCGGTCAAGCTTATGGTGCCAAAAGGTGGATAGTTACACTTCAAAGAAGTTGCGAGAGATTTTCATTCTCCAGCACGGGTTTAGTTACTGCACCAAAACATGAAGTTGATGGAGGTATATTACTATATTAACAATAATGTTATATCGTTTTTGTCTTTAGTGTCTGTAAAATAAAATCTGAGCGAAAATGATATTCTTCATTTTGTTCGTTCTCAGTC